TCTATTGGCCTTCTGCAACTTCACTTTAATGTACAGGACTCCTCCCTGCCCCCAACCTGCGACTAGACAGTAGAAGTAGGAGACTGATGAGCTCCTCTCTCTATCACTCTGCTCTCTCTCCCTGTCAGCATGCTCCTTGCTGCGCTGCAGAACAACTGGCTCCTTGTTCTGCCCCACCCTCCCCCAGTCTGAGTTCTGTTGTACAATCTCTGATTGCCGCGTTTAATGATGTATTAATGACTAACGAGCCGCATTCATTCGTCTGTTTAGATTTCAGCTCCAATATGGAGTTTTCTGTGAGATTCCTGATGGCAGTCCGCAGCCAGCAGAGTACGGCCCCGGCGCGGTTCTGGTAAAGCTCCAGTGTCGGGATCCACGCTCTCAGTGCCGCCATGTGCTCCTGTTGTCTATAGGGCGGGTTAGAAGGACACCGGGATCTCTACAAGGACGTGGTGATGGAGAATGAGCCGCCCCTCACATCACCGGGTAAGAGGAGAGAGCAGTACGGAGGGTCCACCTAGATCCCCATCATCTGATACACACATAGAGACAATGTATTCAGTCAGTGTGTGTGTTTCCTACAGATGGATCCAGTCCCGGGGGACGTCCTCCTCACCCCGACCTGGAGGATCACATCGTGGACAACATCAAAATAGAAGACTCCGATGAGGAGGAGGAGGATGAGTGGTGTGCAAGGGGGCGTCGGCCATGTAAGGAGGAGAAAGTCCCCACGGAGGGCGGCTCAGGTGTGGTATAAATACAGAACACGGACAAGGTTCAGAGATCTTTGTGTCCAGTCTCAGCCACCGTCTATATATATCACTCTGGGCCCCATGTGGGGATTTCCTGTCACAGCGGAAACAATATCGTCAGACAGGAAGTGAGGACAACTCTTTGTTCTCCAATTGTGCTGATACAATTGGAGGGACCCAGAGGGGTGAGCAGCCTTAGCTGGCATGTGGAGCGATCCTACTAATTGCCCCTCAGCATTGTATAAGTCCTATACGTGCTCTGTTCAACACTACTGGGCCCTGATGAAGGGGAACTCCTTCAACCTCCAAAACACGTTGGCTTCTTAATGATAAAGAGTCAGAATAAAATTAAATCTGGACTTTATACGTTCTGCTCTCTGCACATTCTATATTTCTAGTCCTTGTCCCTCACTTCCTGTATAGTCAACTCCTTTTTCAGCAGAACAGGAAGTGAGCCCCAGTCAGCACTAATGCTTTCCCAGACTGTCCAAAATGAAATAGTTGAGTAGATAATCGGCCAATGAATAAGCTCCACCAAGATCCCCCCCCCCCCCCCCCCCCCCCCCAACCCCCCCCCTCCCTCAGGCCCGTCCTCTGTGTTCCCGGGATTCCACACAGGAAGATCATGAGATCCCTCAGGCCCGTCCTCTGTATTCCTGGGATTCCACACAGGAACATCAGGAGATCCCTCAGGCCCGTCCTCTGTATTCCCGGGATTCCATGGAGGAACATCATGAGATCCCTCAGGCCCGTCCCCTGTATTCCCGGGATTCCACACAGGAGGATCAGGTAGGTGGGTTGTGGTTATACTGAGTGCTGGTAAGTGGGTTTTATGAGCCCGGAGATTAGAAGGTATTACAACATGTGTTTGTTTCTGGGCAGGAGGAACACTTAAATGTTGTTAAAATAGAAGATTTTGATGATGAAGAGGAGGAGGAGGAGACATTTATAGGGGGCGATCTGCTGTGTAAGGAGGAGGACGTTCCTTCAGAGATCAGTGCAGGTAAGCAATAAACATGGAAGATCTATCTCTTGGGTTGATGTCCCCCATTCTTACGGTCTTGGCCTGGGATAATTCCGGTCTTGGTCTGGGATAATTCCGGTCTTGGTCTGGGATAATTCCGGTCTTGGTCTGGGATAATTCCGGTCTTGGCCTGGGATAATTCCGGTCTTGGCCCGGGATAATTCCGGTCTTGGCCCGGGATAATTCCGGTCTTGGCCCGGGATAATTCCGGTCTTGGTCCGGGATAATTCCGGTCTTGGTCCGGGATAATTCCGGTCTTGGTCCGGGATAATTCCGGTCTTGGTCCGGGATAATTCCGGTCTTGGTCCGGGATAATTCCGGTCTTGGTCCGGGATAATTCCGGTCTTGGTCCGGGATAATT